ATTTGACAGACAATAAAAGAGGTTAAATGACTTGCCTGGCATCACCAAGGCTAGCAAATGTCTAAGGCTAGATTTGAATTCATGTCTTCCTGACTCAGTCCAATGCTCTACCCACTGTATCACCGTGCCGCCCGCAAGAGGTCACGGAGTTCTGCTTGACGGTCTCCTGTGAGGGGGAAGCCCACTTTGCACCAATGAATCCCCTTCCACTCTGGTGTACCCTAATAGTTAGGAAGCGCTCCTCAGACAAGCCTCGATTTGCTCCTCCACACCTTCCATCTGTCCTGCCCACTCGGGCCCCTGGGGCCAAGCAGAATGAGGCTACTCTCCCTTCCACAGGACCCAGCCTTCAGAGACCTGAGGGCAGCCATTGTGCATCCCCAGGTACAATGATTCTTCTCCAGCAGGCACTTTATTCCCTTTACCACCTTGGTGCAGGACAAAACGCAGCACCAGACCCGACATTTGCAAGACTTGGGGCCAAATCTTGCTCCCCCTGAAAAGCTGTTCTACCCAAAAGGCAGCTTAACCTCTCAAGCATCTCTCTAAGCCATTGTGGGCCACAAGTGACTGGCCAATCTGCATCAACAGCAGGAGCCCCCACACCTGGTAGCTCCCCACACCAATGAAATAAGAAAGCAGGGACTTTCTTCTAGCCTTTGTGCAACAGGTATCTGGGCAAGAAGAATTCAGGGACAAAAGATTTCACCTGTTTTTTTACATAATGGGCTTTTACTTAATAAGTGATTGCATGGACAGACATTTCAGGAAGTTGAGTGTCTACCCAAAGGACCACAGACCCTGGAAGATGAGTATATCAGGTAAGCACCTTGTGTAGACAAAGACTTAAGATACCTATGTTATTGACGTGAGAGATGCTAACAGTTTGGTTCCCACAGACGTGACAGGAACACAGGACGTGCAGGGATGTGCAAACAAGATGAGGGAGCCTGGTTTACTGGTTTACACAATCGTGCAAACAGGATGAAAGGGAGGGCAGAACAACCCCACCCAATCATATAGCTGGAAGGATTCTGTGAGCTCCTCTTGAAGGGGGCCCAGGCTGAAACCGGCTCAGCTGGTCACTGACTTTTCACTAACACGCATGCTTAATTCGCTTCGTGCATATTAACTTACAAACCCCATGGGAGCAGACAGCCGCCATTTTCACACATGCGTCGCATGACGAGGGAGGGGAGACACATTAAGAGTAACATGTAAAGGGCAGTCCAGGAAGAGGGACATCCTGTCCGTCCCTAACCAATGGATGAAAGGGAGGGTGGGACAAGGCGGGGTTAACGCCAAATAACCCTCTATATTACATACTTGCTGTGCTTCTGTAATGTATGTGTGCGGCGTCCCATGAGGGAACATACACACCCAATTCTCTTGAGAATTGACAATAAAGGTATGTCTTCTCACTCCACAAATGTGATTTCATTATTACCCAGCTAACTCTTGTTTGGGGAATTCACCAAGACCAATCTCAGGCTGAATTCTGAATTGAGTCTGGGGTCTTTATAACATTAAGGACACAGGAAGGCAGGTAAAAGAAGATGAGACAAAAAAGGGAAGGGAAGCTGCTATCTTTCACCAAGATGGTGCATATGTTATTTCTGGGTCCTACAGGCAACTATGAAGACTGGACTTCGTACAGGAGGGCATCATTACAGAACAGTAGTTAACTGCATTTCATGGACAAGAATCCCAGAGGCGCTGGTTTGCTTTAAACGCAAACACAGAACTGGTAGCCAAGCTTGGGACTGACCTTTACTTTGTCCTTTGTCTTCCAATTTTGGACTCAATGTACACTGTCCCCTTAAAGCCCGTTTGAGTACTTCTGTATACTAAACACAAACCAATAGTTACTTACGGAATGCATTCCTCAAAACCCGGTGGCAGATTGGAACGCTGGAAAACGATGGCTTTCAGGAGGCTTTCTTTCCATTATTCATTTCCCCAGTAACTTCTCCTGGTTTCTGGTTAGCCCGAGCCACTAGAAGAAGATGACTGTCTGACAGCCACTAGGAACAACAATATGGATGGAGCAAAGCCAAGGTGGGATTACAAAGATTCTCTCTGTCCTCTTTCATCTGCAGCCTGCGACTGAGAGGCCAGATTAAAATGGCAACTAAGACTTGGCTTCAACATTGAAAGCCACATGACAACGTCAAGCTGCCTCAGCCAGCTTCAAAGCAGAGCTTCTTTTAAGGGACTTTTTCCCAACAGGAGGTTATGTTTTTGGCTAACACACCCTAAACACAACACAAGCCGAATTAAAATGATAACTGCACCAAAAAGCACCCCAAGTTGTACACTTGTTTGCAAAGTACAAAGAGGGCTTTCTGCAGCTCCACGTACTCTAATGGCTCCTACTTACACCTCATCCCCTACGTGTTCCCACGTAGTCAAGTGTTAATGCATCATTTTCTCCACAAAACAGGAAAAAATAATCAACACTTGCTCAAGAATTAAACATCCACATATTTTAAAACAGGAAATAACAGGGATTATCGGCTTTAGACAATGACTCAACACTGTGTCATTATAACAAAAACCAATTCAAGCTCTTTCTTAAGGCAGTAAAATGAGAACCTTCACTGTGTTTTATTGGGATGAATATATTTTTGCTAAGGAACAGCAGCTTTTCTGTACCTCACTTGTAAAATGGGGGCAAGAAATTACCATAGCTGTCCTCTACAAAAAATATGACAAAAACTACTGTAAAGTAACTGGACAAGATGACACGCTAGGAAAAGTTCTAAAGAATAATGTGGACTAGCAATGGGTTTAAGACACTCTTCTTGTGTTTTCTATGACAATGATGACAGATGAAGACAGAATAAGGAGCTCAGGAGCAGGATCTGAACTCAAAAAGACTTGGGTTCTGCTACTTCCTGTCTACTTCCTAAATGTGAGCCTGAGTGCGACGTGATTTCGCTTCTCTGGGCCTCAGTTTCTTTATCTGCAAAACAATGGGGTTGGAGCAGAGAGCTGCTGAGGACCCTGTCAGTTCTAACTCTATAATCTCATCAATAATAATCACACGCATTTATACAGCACTTTTAAGACTTCCAAATATGATCTCAAACAAGGCGATGGCATCTTAAAAACATTCTGTTAACATTAAGCCTTGGAAAGCCTCTTTATGACTTTCTAAATGGACTCGAGGGCTTGTCTGAGAAGAGGGTAGGAGGGAATGATAAAGCATAAAAGTATAAAGAAATGATGGGGGATACTGACCTTGGTGTTTGTGGATTAACTTTCTCAAAATGGGGGGGGAGAAAGAGTTCAAGTTTCACTGTACAGAATCATTATCAACTCACAGACGAAAAGAATTAACTACACCTACAAACCAATCCACCAGTGGATTGAAACATTCTGCTTTCTTTTCAGACAAGCCCTTCCCATAAGCACGAAAATGAGAGACAGAGAAGTCACCCAAAAGATAACCGACGGAACCAATTATTCTTTCAGAGACAAATTACATTAGTGCCGCTCTCCAGTTCTTCTCTAGCAAATTAACTGCGGTCTGAAGCCATTTTCACCTTGCACGTGCACGATAACCTCTGTATGTCATTAGTCTGACACCTCCAGGTCTCGAGCTAATCAGAGCAAGCCCAACACCGTTGCTTTCCAGTGCTCCTAAAAAGAGGCATTAAGCATCTCCCTTTCACCCTGCAATGATCCTCCCTAAGGTAGGACAGGTACCTGGATTTGAACAGACCATTAAATGAAAGACTTCACTAATTCCCTAACAAAACAGTCACCTTTCTTGCTCATTTCACTATCCCAAGGTAGCTTCCTGTTCACTGTTCTAAAAAGCACAGATAGTAGGATACCTTTCTGATAGACAGGGTGTCCCAAAAGTCTTAGTGCAGTTTACTGTCGGGCTTGAAATTGCATTAAGACTTTTGGGATACCTCATTACTTCACAAAGCTCAAGGTCTTTTCTGTTTAATTATGGTGAAAGTAATGGTGCTCCTTAATTCCTGATTTTAAATCTGACTGATTCCACCATGTTGGTACTTCCCTTGTCTCAAGAATTTGTTATTGTTGTTGGTTTTTTTTTGGGGGGGGGGTTGGGCAATGGGGGTTAAGTTAACCCTGAGGGTTAAGCCCAGGGTCACATGGCTAGTAAGTGTTATGTGTCTGAGGCCGGATTCGAACTCAGGTTCTCCTGAATCCAGGGCCAGTGCTCTATCCACTGCGCCACTTAGCTACCCTGCTTTTTTTTTTAATGGCTCAGAATTTGGGAGGGAAAAATCCTAAGAGAATGAGTATTGGCTCCTAGTAGGCTCACACAGGCCCCCACAGAGGCAGGCTTTGACAACTTTCCAAGAGAAAAATCACATTATAAATATCACATTATAAATACGTATGTAAATCCAAAGTCTGATAAAAGACAAAGATAGGACCAGGGTTATCATCTACGCCATTCTGTTAGCCTTAAATATCCGGGTCTATCTAAGTGGAACTTAAAGGCTTCTCCCTACCCTGCCCTTGCCTCTTCTACTAACTCTCTGTGAGCCAGACATTGAAGGAAGGCTTCTGTTAGCCTTATACCACAACTCTGCAGGGTGTAGCTCCATTACAGGCAATCTCAGGAACCAGAATCCACCTTTAAAGAAAAAACAGATGGCCCAATGGAAAAAAAAATGCATTAAAATATGACAGATGTGGATGTTGAGAGTAGGGGAAGATGAGAACAGCCACGCCCAACGCTGATCAAGGCAGACAGTGGAGCGCAGTTACACAAAGCCATGTGGCAGAAGGCGTCCCATCGAGGTGACACATACATCTGTAGACAAAGGTACTCCAAACCCATTACATAAAAGGTTTGTCTTTCAGTCACACATGGAAGTAACTTTTTGAGGGTCCTGTGTCTCTCCACCGTGCCTAGTTGTGGCATTTCTGAGAGCAAACCTAACCATTTAGGAAGAAATAACACAGGTGGGAAACCAGCAGCAAAGACTTGGGCAGGGCCTCAGGCATCTTACTTGATTTGTTCCCAAGTCCTGGTGGCCAAATGCAGGACCCAGAGATCTTTATAGTGGTAGAACTGCTCTCCATCAGGAGAAGCAAATTCTCCTCCAAACACCCACAGCTGTCCGCCTCCCTGAGGGACCACTGCTGCCTGCAGAGAGAGAAGACAGAGAGAGGCTGGGGTTACCCATCTGCGCCATTCTGTACAACAACAGAAGAAAAGACCACTCCCCGTCTGACTCCCACGCTGACCCCATACACGGGGTCATTAATGATCATTGCTGCATTCATTCCTTCTTCATGACAGACCAAAGCGTAGCGCCAACAGGCACAGTCCTCCTGCCCAGGCCCTCACGTTCTGGCACCTGGGCACTGAACCAGAGCTGTGGCAAAGACTCCCTCTTCAGATTCCCTCATACTGACTCCTCTGTGATACATGAGGATATGAGCTCAAGGGCCAGGGCAGCTTCAGGATTGTCTGATGAATAACCCTCATGAATTAACAGCCTAAGAGGAGCAAATCATTCCTGGGGCATAGGAGAAGCATCGTTCACGCCTCTTCTCCAGCCTAGAGTGAAGCAGTAATGCAAGCACTGACCATGGGGTCCCTGCAGACCGCTGTGCACACCTGCTGGAAGGCAGATTCTCCATCCCTGCAGGGTCATCCCTGGAGAGCTGCCAGAAAGGAGCATACGAGTGTCAACCCCGGTTCAGTTCCTCCTCACCTCATCGCTTCAGAGAACCTCAACAGCCTCATCCCATCCCACTTCCTTGCCCTGCTCGTACTCAGCTCCTCCTTTTCATGCCATCCTCTTTCCTTCCTCCCCACCTCCTTTCCCCTTCTCCACCTCACAGAAGTCTTTCTCCTCCTCTGGCTTTTCACATCCTTCACTTCAAATCCTTCTCCTTCTCTGTGTCCTCCTTCAACTCTCAAGTCCTTCCATGTTTCCCCTCCCCAGGCCCAATCTCTGGCCTTCTTTTCCAATTCCAAACCCTCCAAATGACCTTCTCGTATCATTCTCTGCTCAAGTCTTTCTCCTGGCTCCTCTCACACAACCTTCTCCCACAAATGCCAGAAGTGAAATCTAGGGACCAGCTCCCCTAGAAAACCCACTCTGGCAGCTCTGCTCATGGACAGTGACTCCCAAGTCAGTGAAAACAATGACAGACTTGGAGTAAGAAGGCCTGGGCTCAAATCCCCGCTAGCCATTTCTCTGGCAAGGCCAGAGAAAACTGAATTTCAAGTCAGAAGGCCTGGGTTCAATGCCTCTCTCCAGTGTGTCCGACCTGGGTGACCTAGGACAAGGGACCTGACATCTCTGGGCCTCAAAGGCCATCTGGTCCAAATATCCCATTTTACTGATGAGGAAACTGAAGCCAAGAATGTTGGAGGGAATTCTGCAAGGTCCCACAGGCAGGAAGGAGTGGAGCTGGGATTCAAATACACGGCCCTTTCCTCCAGCTTTAGCGTTGCTCCTGCGCTACGATGACTAAAAAATGAAGGACGAAACTGGATGGATGACTTATAATGTCCCTTCCAGCAGGAGAGCTATGATCCTAAGACCTCTCCGAACTGTGGCTGTAAGACGAGGGGACTACATGCACCACTTATTTCATGGTGAGAGGAGGGCACTTCGCAGACTGTAGAGTACTATGTAATGTGAGCTGTCCTTCCTACAAACTCTCTAAGCCCAAATCTAGGAAGAAAGGCATGTGTAGAGGAGCCTTTGTCACTGTGGGTGCTTCAAGAACCTATCATTTGGCGAATGCCAGAGTTATCTCAATGACACAGATGATAACCACTGCATCACTCAGATGGATTTCAGGAGTTGTCACTAAAAAATTCATTTTCCTACAGCCAGCCTGATGACGACTTTCCATCTTATACATTTTTAAACTATTAGGCCTAGATAAAATATTAGAAATCTCCAGTATGGGAGCTCTTCACTTGGAGTCCATGGACCCAGAAGGGCCTGAAGGCAGATAGGTATCAAGGCGTCTGAAAGCTGAAGTGGGAAAAAAATCTGCCTCTTCATCTCAAGAGAACAGGGTTCTTGTAAAAACCTCTATGTTTTATTGTATGTATTTTATAAACACCACAGACTCCCCAGACAGCTGCCAAGGAGTCTATGACATGCAAAACGCTAAGAGCCCCTGCTCTATCAACACCTTCATTTTCCAGATGCAAACACCAAGCTCGAGTGTTAACTGGTCTGGTTCTGTGGCCAAAGAGAAGCACCAGACAGTGGTGGCAGAACCAGTTACAAGGAGGCAGAATTAAGTAACTGCAGAGGACGTCACCAACCATGAGAGACTGAGGAAAAAAACCCTGCAATTCAGGTATCCCCAAATTCTCCAGGTGACAGAGGTGGATGACAAAGTCTTAGCAGAAGAAAAAATTCTAACTACTCCCTGACCACGACTAACCAGGAAAAGGACAAGAGACCCAAATCCAGGAATAGAGACTGAGGAATGCCTGCTGTTACTCTTGAGGCTCACTCCTGTGTCCAACAACAGACAGTCCTTAACTTTCAAGGGCACCAAGAAGCTTCGAAATGTCAGAGTAATTTCTATACATCAGAAGCAAGGTGTTCACCTGTGGTCTGGCACATTCGTGCTGGCTCTGACTAAGGAGAGGGAATTGCCGGGGAGAAGCCCGTGATGCAGCACCTCTGATGATAAGATTTCAAGACAACACACAGGCGACCTCACCAAGATCTGAGTTTTCTGTATCGTCGTGATTATTTTTAAAGGGCAGAGGGAAGATCCGGTCTGTTGCAGCAACCTGCTCGTCTGTTCAGATGGAATCGCCGGCATGCCACCTGCTGGACAGCACAACCTCCAAGCAGCCCTCACTCCTACCTGTGGTCCCTACTACCTTAGGTGAGCAGGGCAATGCTTAGAAGTCTCTCACCATAGCCTGGGGATCAATCTTCAGTCTTGGAGGGTCAGGCAGTAACATACAGGTTCCACCATGGCTGGAAACCTTCAAGTTTATCTCTGTATGATGTTTAGTAAAAAGTATGGCACAAGCAGAAGGCGAAAGAGATCAGAGGAGGACAGTTAGAGACAGAAGCAGTAACTGAGCAAGGGGAAGAAGAGAAGGACTCAGGCAGAAGACGACAGTAAGACAAGTATATAAGACAAGGAAGTGCTTAGTTTAAACTATCTCTGGCCACCCTCTCCAGTACTGCATCCTCCTCTCATGAGAGAAGGGAATAAGCATTTATACAGTGCCTACTATATGCCAGGACTGTGATAAGCTCTTTATAATCATTATATCATTTATCCTCACAACAACCCTGTAAGGTAGGTGTTATAATGATCCCTAATTTACAGTTGAAGAAACTGAGGCAGACAGTGGTTAAGTGACCAGTCTGTAAGTGTCTGAGGCTGGATCTGAACTCACGTCTTCCTGACTCCAGACCCAGGGCTCCAGAGGCCTCATCACACAATGGGGCCAGAACACAGAGGAGGCATTCCGTTTCGTGGCAGATCGATCCTGCACCACTATCCCACTCCCTCTGAGGTTCATTCAGGACATTTACACCCCCTGGTCCAGGTGCTCAGCACAACCATCCCTCCACCAGCCAGGGGTTTGGTGTCTGGCTCACAGTCTCTTCCCAACACTAACCTCGCCTGAACTCATGTCCTTGAATGTCTGCACTGACATCCATCTCAGTTCATCGACCTCAGCCCCTGCAAACTTTCCTTTTTGATCAATCATGGCTCTGGGGCAGTTGACCTTAGATCTTCACAGTTCAGATTTCACCCTCATGAATAACTGATAACTCCACAGCAAACCATATGATACAGCAAAAATAATTCCATGATAGTGAATCACTTTGGGCCTCAGTTTCTTCATCGGTTAAATGGATGAGGCAGACTAGATGGGTTCTAAGTTCACACCTAACCTTAAATCAGATATCCCAAAAACCCCTCCAAATACCTGTAAAAAATGGCTCTAAACAAATTCTAGAGCAGCAGAACCCCAGTAAGACAGAGTGAAACAAATTTCCAGCCCAAGACAACTTGGATGGTTGAATGGAAAGGTCTACTGTGCTGGGCTGGGAGAGGAGCACAGTTCAGCGTAGGCCACATAGGCAGAGACCAGGCCTCAGCAAACCTGGACTGAATCACGGGCAACTGTGGCGGTTTCCAGACTTCTCAACCCACAAACACCACAAGACAGCTTAGAAGATCAGTAGGAAAGGTCTGTTGGACTGTGGTGAGAAAGAAGCTCAGTCCAGCCCCAGCCCTGGAGTAGCCCTGGGGCAGCGGCTACTTCCGGACTCAGCCCACAGACAGAGTGGGGATCGAGTGGCTGATCAGAGGGCGATTGCAGGGATCTCTTTGCTGGTACTGAGGCAGGATTCTCTTGCTTTGCCCATGCTTGGATCTGGGTCACAGTCCTGGCTGGCGGTCCTGGGGCAAGGAGGAGTGCTGGCATGGCGGAGCTTGTGGTGGCAGTGGAGAGAGAATCCTCCCCACAGTTCCAAGGCAGAAAAGTGGGCTTCTGGTCACTCATAGACCAAAGCACAGGCCAGGGAGTAAACACTTCACCCTTGATCGTACCACCTCAGAAGAATGGGAAATTTACAGGTCCCTAAAAGTATCTCTGAACAAAACCCCAGAAACTTGGGTGGGACAGTACATTCTCCACATTGGAAGCAGACCCCTACCTTAACAAAGAGTTTAATACCCAAGTAATTGGCTGGGAACATGAGCAAACAGCACAAAGAAAGTCAGACCACAGAATCTTACTTTGGTGACAAAGAAGATCAAAACATACAACTAGAAGACAACAAAGTCAAAGTACCTACATTCAAAGCCTCCAAGAAAACTATGAATTGGTCCCAGGCCATTGAAGAGCTCAAATAGGATTCTGAAAAGCAAGTAAGAGAAGTAACCGGGGTGGGGGTGGGGGGGATTAGAATGAAAGGAAATATAGTTTTTCACAACATGGCTATTAAGGAAGTGTTTTGCATGACTACACATGTATAATCTGTATCAAGCTGCTTGCCTTCTCAATGAGGGTGAGCAGAGAGGAAGGGAGAGAATATGGAACCCAAAGTTTTAAAAACAAATGTGAAAAACTGTTTTTACATGCAACTGGGAAATAAGATATACAGGCAATAGGGTATAGAAATC